GCATATTTCCCAATTACTAACGCTACATAAAAAATTGGAATATATGTGTGTAGATTTTAGTAGTAGCCTTCTTTATTAGCTCAATAGATATATAGTTAATTAGTTAGTTTTGTTGGAAATTTTAACGTTATGCCAAACAAACTTCGATCCCAGGAGTATTCATATCGAATAATTGAGAATCAAAACTGAATAAAAAGCGGAAGCGTACCAGACTTCATGAATTGAAAATCCTTATGTTATTCTGTTTTCTTGACTGATGATGACTTCAAAACGATCTTGTTGGACTGGTATGGTTTTCCAAATAATCGAACCTTATAGCAGATTTTGATCCGTAGTGTTTGTATAATGTATGTATCTTTATGTGTGTATTCCATATGTTTCTCGGAAGTGAAGATATATGCTTTTAAAGGGAGAAAACACCTCTTCCAAAATCTGCTCGTACCTTTTTATCGTTTGGGGCCATAACCAAATAAATAAGAATTATATGATTTTCAGTTCGGTCCCTCAACAAACAAAAAATCCCATAATGGTATCTACACTTTGAATCCATAATAATTTGATACTCTCTTTATTCAAAATTCCAAATTAATAGATCACTTTAATTGAATAATATTATTACAACTATACACATTTAATTTACATATGTTGTCCAATAAAATATTTCTAACAAGTTTGATATAGGTAGAAATGTTTGATGTGAAGTTAGTAATGAATATTATGATTATCTTTTGTATGTGTTTTATGTCTATCAACCAATGGGAAGTTTATGTTGCAATAAATCACATAAGAGAAAACAATATTGCATTACATATAGGTCAATTAACTACTCCTTACATTCACTTTTAATAATTGTCCTTTTAGGTTTGATATTTTGTGCTAATTATTGGTTGGTTTAGTGTGAGAAGATGGAGGAGATGGAACAGAAGCTAAAAGAGGGCGGCGTGAAGTACATGAAGAGGACGATTGGGGAAGAGGAAGGGGCCCCCATCGACCAGTTGTTTTTGAATGACCCTGATGGATTCATGATCGAGATCTGCAACTGTGAGAATCTCAAGCTGCAATCTTCCCAACCAATTAAGCTTCCTTCTGATAAGCATAATCCCCCTATTGAGCTGACCAAGACTGATGAGAAAGGAAGATGTTAGTTACATGCATGAGATTTTGAAGAGGAAGATAAATGGTAAACAAGAGAGAACTGATGAAAGGTTCTCTGTTCTTTATCCAGATGTTATCCGTGTAAGGCTCTTTTTTTTTTTCGTCTTTCATCATTTAATTCCTTTCCAACGATGATGGCAAGATTGTATGTACCACTGCGTTTGTTACTATGTATAATTAGTATATATGAGAAGGATTTTAGAAATATCATAATTAAAATTCAAATTTAGTGGATGAACAGTCTTGGTATATGCATGACATGATTAGCTGAACACGCTGACTGCACATAGTTTAACTGACAATCTTGTTACAATCTTCTTTGTTGTTGTGGAATGTAATTTAGAACATCATTTTGGAATGTAATTTAATTACAACATCATTTGAGCATAGCATTAGAGATGCTCTAATTTTCAAGTACCAATTATATTTACGTTTTTTATATGTGTCTGCTCCGAACTGTCTAAAGGGGCGGACCCACATAGGGACCGCAGTGACCCATGCCTAGAAGGCTTATATATCTAGTGAGGAAATTGCAAATTTGTCTTGGACCCGTGACAAAATTAGTCTTATTCGGTGGAAATTCAGTCCTTAATTTTTTTTTAAAGTAGCCCCAAAGTCGTGCAAGTCACGTGGCCGTTGGTAGTTAGGTTGAAAAAGGATGAAATTGCAAATTTAGTCCCATAAGATTGATCGAGTTGCAAATTTAGTCCCAAATGTAGAAAAAATAATTTTTGCTATTTTTTGTTGTAATTTTTATGTCATGTGTATATAACAATCTTTGATATACAATATTTTCTATATTTCAAATTATTTTAAATTAAATAATAAATATATTTAAAAATAATATTTAATTTTATTAGAATTATAGAACTGTAGAGGTTAATTAATTTAAAAAACAAAAATTAAAATAATATCAAATACTATTGTTTTGAAAACTTGACCAAACTTGCCAAATTGACTGTTGAATTAATCAGTTACATTCCTTTGAACGAATTGGGTTAAAAACTAAGATGTACGGCTTGAATTTAGCCCTACGTGGCTGTCCAGGCAATATCAATATCTCTATTTTATCATCTTATGTTAGTCTTTTATGGTTTTCAGTTTGCTGTGCTGTGAAGCATGCTGAAAGTAGTATGCAGAAAAAATAAAATTCATTTCCCATGTTAACGTTGATATATATCCAATTTTATTAAATAAATATATCCCGGTTAAGTTTAAGCTGATTTAATTAACACCGCGTGTAAAATTAAAGTTTGATGATGATGATGATTATGCTGACAACCTATATATATAGAACCTGGAACTTAAGATGCAAAACATGACTTGCAAGTTAATTTGGGGGACATGACATGGATGAGTTCTAACTTCTAAGGCAAGGCAAGTAGGTCAGTGATGAGCCCTTTTGCTTATGATCAACGTATGAAAATCATCCAAGTAAAGAAAATACTTTTGCCTTCATTTTTTCCCTTTTAATAAAAAATCTAGGCTCATAAAATTCACAATAGCAATGAATACTTTTGCCTTCATTTTTTTCCCTTTTAATAAATAATCTAGGCTCGTAAAATTCACAATAGCAATATTCAAAAGCCGATAAACATAAATAAACAAATTTCACAATTAATATTAAATTTGACACCTCACAAATTAAAAAATATTATTATTATTATTATTATAATAATATTATAAATATTTGAAAATGTTGAGAATGTTCTCTAATAAACTGAAACATTCGTAACAAAGTTTGATCAACAAATAATAACATTCCGTCCACAACTCATTTTCATGATAATAAGCTCTATTCACGTAAGTTGATCAACAATTAATAACATTCCGTCCACAACTCATTTTCACGATAATAAGCTCTATTCACCTCCAAACTACGCATATATGAAATGATCACAACTTTACCACTTATATATAATTTGCCAAACTCATTGCTAGCTACAACATAAATTACTTACTACAACTTCTTATTAATCCATACATTATTATACATATAATATAATCACTTCGTCATGATTTATAAACACGTGTTGTGAATAATATGTAAAGAATTTCCAATATTTAATTTTCACACTGGTAAAGAATTTCTCGATTTGCATCTCTGTTTATCCTCCAAATCTCCCTCACCCGTCTCCTCAACCTTACCCAAAAACTCATACTCAACAACAACCCCCTCCCCACGACACCACCACTTCACCATCACCACATAAAACGACATCGCAATCACCGCCCACAAAATCAAACACACCCCAAACTGAACATTAACCAACCCCTTGGCCCGATCCAGGGCCCGATCCCCTTTACACAACACCGCAACCCTTCCCGGCCCAGCCTTCAAAACACATCCTTCCGGAAGCATCCGGGGGCTCCACAGCAAGACTCCCGTCACCATCAGCCACACCCCTTGAAAGACCACGCTGAAAGCCCGAGCAAATGAGTTCACGAAGCTCCCGGGCCAGCCGACGGCCAGCAGCGTCCCGGCCAACGACGCGAAGGTGACGAGCTGCAGCAGCCAGTGGTAGTGTCCCTCGAGGCCCGCGTGGTCGGTGGAGTGGAGGTGAAGGACGAGAAGCTGGAGCCCGAAGGAGAGGGCCTGGAGGAAGTGGACAAGCCCGTTATTTGTGGGGGACGGGCCGTGGGCCCGGTCCAGGACGACGGCGAACGAGGCGTAGACGAAGAACGAGAGGGCGATGAGGACGTGTTCCGTGTGGGGGAGTTTCTTGGTGGATGTTAGTGGGCCGCGGCCGATGGATAGCTCCATGGACGAGAAGATTGTGGTGACGAGGATGATTGTGAAGGGCTCGAGGTGCCTGAGGCGCGGGAAGGGGAACCAGGGCTGGGTTAGGAAGGATTTGGGGCGGAGGGTGTGGAGTTTGATGGAGCTGAAGAGGTGCCAGAGGCCGATGATCGAGTACGCTNAAATTTTGATTTGTTTCTTTGGTAGTTGGAGATGGAATATATATGTCTGAGCGGTTCTTGAAAGAGAAGAGAGTTGTGTTGAGTAGTTAAGAGAAACCAATTGCAATGTCATCACCTTGCCTTGTACTGGAAAATGATGACTGGGGAAGGGACTTGTTGACGACGAAAATTCTACTTAAAGGCATGGTTATTTGTTGCTGTTCGGGCGTGCATCAAATTGGGTACGCAATAGGATGTACTTAATTATAACTTGGGTTGTAGAAGAAAAAAGATATGCTTTGGATCATCAAATTTATTAATTGTTGGGTGGGAACGTTTGTTAAAAATAAGAATGAGTAGTGTGGCAATTTATTTGGACAGTAATCAATTCAAAATAATGTTACATAACAACAACTTAACATAATTTAATCATTGTATATAACAAAATTTAATTTTTGATGGCCCATGCCTTGGAGAAAAGTACATATTTGGCATACATCAAATGTAAGAGACCTCGAATATTGTGGTCGACTAAGAGTAGGCAGGAGTTTAAAATTTTAAATTTCAAAAATTGAGTTTTATTAGGAAGGAATGTCCGATTTTAACTTCTTAGGTATAACACCATCAACTTTACAATGTTTTCCCAATTTTTTCATTTCTTGAGGGCGACGGTAGAAGTATGGAATGGCCTCTCCAATACAATATAACCGGATTGAACACAAAGGGTTAAGGACATAATATATACAATCATAGTTTTAAAACCCGTCCCGAGAATCGACCCAGACAGATTTCCGAGTCACCAGTTCAAGCGTCAGGTCACAGGTCAATTGTTGCCGAATAATTAATTTAAAATTTTTTTAAATTATATATATATATATATATATATAAATATGCTTAGAAGTAACAAAATTAATGCATCAAAGTGAAAATAATATTGTATCTCATAATAAATATTATCATATAAATATATATACATAGTTTTTTGAAAAAAAAAATACTTTAAGCACAACGGGGTCAACCCAGTTGACCCAGCCAGATCAATGCCCCGAGTCGACCTGGTTGACTGGGTTTGACCAGGTCCATTGTTACCGGGTCCGAATAACCCACCGGACCGGTCCAAGCTCCGGGTCGACCGGTCGAGCTGGTCCGGGTTGAAAAACTATGCATACAATGAACATGAAAAAAATAAAATTCACCACAAAGGGTACGATAAATTTCTGTAAGTCCAGTCAAAGATATTGTATTAGCACTAACATTATCGAAACAAATGGAAAAAAGTTTTTAATCAATTCTATAAGTATTCAAGACACGTATAGTTAAAAGAGCGATATTAGTAACAGTGTGAGAGTTATTAAATCCCCCATATAAACAATTAAATATTTTTGTAATGAAAAATTACCGTCCACCAAATGACAAGTAATTCCCACATAATGATTATCTTGTCAATGATCGGACCAAATGTCACAACAAATACAAACTCTTTGGTTTTAATGTTCAAAACTTTGCACCAAAATTAATTTTTTTCTCATCCACTATGTTTGGAATGTTGCGTATGAGAGTAGTAAGTGGAATCTGAGACATATCGAGATTTAAAGCTTTTGAGCAAAATTTTCATGGAAGTAAGAATCACGGAAACCGAAAGGAAGAGATGTAGCAGAAATAAAATTAGCTAGATAACGTCTATGGTTTTAATAAAAGTATTGAAATAAAGAAGAAGAAGAACCAGTTCTGGAAGATCCAATAGCAGATGTACTGCTACTTCTAGGGATTTTCGTTTGGGTTGTCGGCAGGGCCGGCCATGGCCCAGGGCAACCTGGCAATGGCCCACGGCCCAACTTGATAAAGGGGCCCAATGATAAGAAACTGTCTAATTAATTATCCAAGCTNCAAAGTTAGAAAAAGGGCCCAACTTGAAAAATGTGCCAAATGGAAGAAAATGCCTAAGTAATTATCAAACCATTTTTTTTTTCTCACTTCTGTTTTTTTGAATTTAGTTGTGCCGTTAACGAAACTTCGAAAAGGGGCCTAATTAAAATGTTTGGGTACCCAAACATTTTGTTATTATTTTTCTCCAAATAAAAGAGGAGGCCCACTCCAATATTTAACAATTTGTACTTATTTTTTCTCCATTGAGTTATGCATATGAAATGCCATTTTTGTTCTTACCCACCTTATGACTACTAAAAACCTAAGTAAGTTTTGAATTTGTTAATCCTAAGATGTGTTTAATACTTTAAAAAAACATATGAAATTTTTTAAAATTAAGTCGTTTAGGAATTCATTTAGTGTTGTAATGTTTTTAGAACATATGTTTTTAATTTAAATTGAGAATCATGTAGATTATTACTTATATTTTTGTATTTTTTCCCTTTTTATATTATTTTTATGTTTAATACATGATAACTTATAAATCAATTGGTTCTAGTTAACTTGCATAATTTCAAATTTCCAAAACCAACTATCTAAAATTATTATAGGTATGATGAACTATGCCTCTAATTTAAGGGTGAAAAAAACACAAGACCTCCAATCATTGATCGCATTTGGAAAATAATTCATTTGTTGCATTTGGTGCCTCTTTTCCCTTGATCCCTCGTTTAACTATTGTTTTTCTTTGCTTGATGGTCATTCGAATATCTAAATTTTTTTTTATTGAAAATGCAATAGCTCATGAAAGTATCTTTTAAATAATGAGAATTCGAGGCATTATTTTTGTTTTTCCCTAGGGCCTCATAATATTAAGGACCGGCTCTGGTTGTCGGAATCCTTACTTTGACCAGATGATAAGTTTGTACGTGTCGTTGCATGGTTCCGTATCCATTGTCGATTTTGAAAGCGTACCTTTTCTTGGCGTTGGGTGGATAATGGTTGCAAATATATATAAATGTTTATCAGTTTTTTTTTGTATCGGGCACCTTTGTGAAATGCCTTGTGAATATATCGAATATCAATTGTCGTCCCCCAGTCCTTGGTCTGGCAGCCGTCTCTTGACCTTGAGCTTGGGTAGGATCATAATCGTCACCCGGCTCCAGGTCCACGTCGAACTCTAAGACATCGTGGATATCTTCAATAGATTTAAAGATGTGTTGGACCTCTACGGGCTCCAAGTCATCGGGTATATCCAAAACCTCTAAGTATACTGTCGGCATTAGCAATGGAGGTGACCATTCGTAGATGCTACATTTTTTTCACTTTGGTAGTTGTTCTCCACGAGCACTCGATATTTTGTAACTTATATAGAATTTATAAAACAAAAACTATGGGGTGAAAATGATATAAATGAAAGAGTATTATCTAGAGATTATGAATGAGAAAGTATTATCTAGAGATTTTGTAGAACAGGAACTGAAATGAGAGAGAATTTATAGAATCAAAACAGAAATTAGAGATTATAACAAGAGAGTAAGTTGTAAAATAAAATTAGCGTAAAATTTTTGAAGGGGGAGGTGTTATCTATACAAAAAAAATCAGAATTTTTTCGATTTTTTTTCTTAAATTCGTGAACTACTGGTTCAAGTTTAAACCGACTGTTCAAACGGTTCAATTAAAATTTAGCCGTTGGATCTTAACAGTCAGATCGATCCAACAGTCGATTAAAAAAATCTATATCGTTGGATCATACACGGTTCTGGGTCCAAACCTGCCCAACTCGCACTGGCCCGATCTGTATCAAATAAAAAAATAAAAAAGAAGACCGTTAGATCTCCAATGGTCAAAACGATCCGATGGTCCACATTTTCTCGAATTCGATTCAGGACTGACTCGACCTAACAAGGAACTGGAAAAAAAAATCATTTTTTTTTAAATTTGAATTTCTAAAAAAAAATATATTGTCGGTCACCAGGCCGTTTCGGTTAGGAACTGGAATCGGCAGTTCAATTTTTATTTTTTTTTATTATTTTTTAACTTGAATCGGCCCGAATAAAACTACTTATCGGTTCAAAGTTCGTGATCAATAGTTTGGGCCAAGCCCAAAACCATTGACTTTCTGGCTGGACCACAATGTTTAAAATCGGAACCTTCTAATCTTTTGGCTAGTCTAAACGCTCTAGGCAAGTAATAACTTCCTAAACCCAAATTGAAGCGTTGGAGTATTGTCCACCGCCTAGGCAACGTCCGATTTTAAGAACATTCGTAGTCTAGGGGACTTCTAGTCTTCTACATTGATCAACATAACGGCATGTACATGCGGAGAGTAGACATACATTCCCATCCTACGTGGAAATATCTGATTGGTCCTGTGACAAAACTTATGAGAACGTACAAACAAAAACAGCGCGAGAAAAAAATCAAACAGAAACTCTTCTTAGAACCCACTGAGAGAGACGAAAATCTAAAGACGAAACGAATCTGTATCTACGTCCCAATCAACGTTCGTGTTGGGGGCATTAACATTCTGGTACATAGGCTTACGTGATGGCGTGGTGTATAAAGGGCGTGAACAGATCAGCGCTATCGGCGTTTGCGCCCAATGGCCCGTACATGGCGGCGGGGACGATGGCGGGTGCGGTGGATCTGCAGTTCAGCTCCTCTGCCAATCTGGATGTATTCGAGCTCGATTTCGCGTCGAACGATCGGCAGCTGATCCTGGCGGGATCCGCGCCGAGCTCTGAGCGCTTCAATCGGATTTCGTGGGGTAAGGGATCCGCGGATTCCGAGGAGTATTCGCTTGGCCTCGTTGCCGGTGGCCTCGTCGATGGGAATGTCGGGCTCTGGAATCCCAAGTCTCTGATCTCGTGAGTTCGATTTCCTGGAATTTCTTTCATCCTATTATGTTTTATATGATTGAGTAACCTCCGTTTTATGGAGTGTTTGAATCATTCAGTAGTATTGGACTCCGCATGATTCTTAATTCTGTCCTTTATTTAGTTCGTTACTTCTAAGACATTGAAAGCACGCACTTTTTTGGAGATTGCACTATAGATATAATATCCAACTGGTCAGCTTTTTTTCTGTGAAAATTTACATTGTTTTTTCGTTTATTGTCGATTATTGTTATATGTGATAGACATGTTCAAGTCATAAAGATTTGAGGTAATTCATTCCCATCATATGTATCTAGCAAAGTTACTGTATGCATGTGTCAGTTTTAGTTGAGCAAATGAAGAAAGGAAGTCCTTCAAGTTTTTGTTTCACCTTGTTCTTATTTCTCTCTCTATTTATTATTATTATTATTATTATTATTATTATTATTATTATTATTATTATTATTATTATTATTATTATTTAATTTTACAGTTCTTGCACAAATAAAAAGACTTCTGACACAATAGAGAATGCCCTTGTTGCGAATCTTTCAAGACATAGAGGACCAGTAAGTTCATGCTCCTTTATTTCACATCTACTGTACATTTTTCTGTTTCACTTCTTTCCTTTTAAATTACGGTGGATTGATTTGGTTTACCAAATACTGGTCAGGTTCATGGTTTGGAGTTCAGTTCCCTTATTCCAAACCTTCTTGCTTCTGGAGCTGATGAAGGTGATATTTTTATATGGGATGTATCAAACCCATTGGAACCAAGTCATTTGTCACCACTCAAGGTATGTTGATGATTGGACTCAATGTACCTTTTACAGAATAAAATTTCAGCTTGTCTCTATATATATTTGAACGAGATAATATATATGACCAAATGTCTTAGTTCCCACTGTCACTTTGACTAGAGAATTTGTTGAGACTTGAAGAATACTTGTTCCCATATGGAAAGATCTGCAACTTATGTTTGAATAGATGGATCATATTACAGAAAGAATTTGTTGGTATCCATGGTTGTCATTTCAAATCTGCAGATTCAATTGCAATTTTTGTTTTCACACACACACACACAGAGTGAGAGAGAGAGAGAGAGAGAGAGTTGCACTCTTGTTGTGTTCTAGGGAGTGTGTTGGAGAATGTCTATTCTCCATTATATGTTCAGAGATCATATTAAAAATGAAAAGTTGGTACGTTCATGGGAACAAAATAATCCGATGTCTTTTAGACACTTATCCACCTAGATGGCATATAATGTTGTGTAATTGTAGTCCACAGTGGGTGACATTTTCGACTGTAGGGAATGTGTCTTTGTTTTTCTATCATAGCAACTGAGGGGCAGAGAACATCTAATTTGTTTAGAGGGACTCGAGATATTAATTTCTAGAACTATAAGTAGCTAGTACATTTTCTCTACTGGATAAAAAAAGCTGGTAAGTAAAATAAGAAACACACCATTGCTTTGCATGAGTGCAGATTGGTTACTTTCCAAGTTATTTAATAAGAGCATAAAAGTATTTCCATTGTATGATTGGTTTCAAATAATATCAAAAAGGAAATAGGGATTGTTATCTTCTTCAAACTCTGTTAAAAAAAGGTTGATGATGTTATCCTGCTGATATGACTTCAGAACTTTGACTCAGAGGGTATGATATCACCTACCTTTTAGTTGTGTTTCAAAATTATGGAAGGAGGGAGAAAGGAGGGGATGAGAGTGGCATTGACCGTTTCCCTTGGGTGGTTTGGGTGCTAGGTACAGATAACTCTATACGTCGGGTACAAAGAAGGAAAAGAGAATGAATGGAATTTAACCTTTTCTTTTGTTTGATATCATGAAAGAAAGAGAAGCCAGTGGGAGGAAAACCATTTGTAATTTGGCACAACCTTTACCCACTTTGTTCTTTTTGGATGAGAATTCCTCTCTTTCTTTGTTCAATCTATTCTTCATTGAGAATACCCCTTCTTTCTTCATTCAATCTTTTCATCCTTTATTTATCTAATCTGTGCGCTGCTTCCATCCAAGCAAGCCCGCAGATATGACCAAGAAGATCAAATTACAAATTTTACATGCCTTGTTAATTTGACTTTCTTATGTCAGAAGGATTCTTAAGATTTGAATTTTTCATGGTAGAAGAATTTTATTTTTGAATTGAAAAGCTTGCCGAACTTGAATATAACGATCATTTTGTCTATATATCTCCACTTGACAACTTCTCGCCTTCGACTTACCTATTGGTGTTGGATACTCAAATTTAGATTTTTTGAACTGTTTCACAGGGTAGTGGATCTGCTACACAAGGTGAAATTTCATTTTTGTCCTGGAATAGCAAGGCGGAGCGCATACTTGCTTCCACATCATATAATGGGACAACTGGTAAGAAGAATTGTCTTGGTTTAGTTTATACCCTTGAATCTTGTATTTTGCTTGAAATAATAGCCATATCTGTAATTTCAGCGGTTTGGGATCGGAACAAGCAAAAGCCAGTTATAAGGTATAAATTTATCTTGTAAAAGTGAAGTAGGATATCTGCTATGTCTACCATTGACCATGAGCAGGATATATTTCGATCTCTGATATTTAATATGGCATCAACTGCAGTTTCTCTGATTCAATTAGAAGGAGGTGCTCTGTGTTGCAGTGGAATCCGGATGTTGCTACGCAGCTTATAGTTGCTTCTGATGAAGATAGTTCACCTTCTCTCAGGGTAATTTTAACTTTTTGTTTAAAGCCTTTCAAACCCTACTTGATTTCCAATCTTTGTGATTGGGCCGATATTCTTGTTCAGCTGTGGGATATGCGGAATATAATGTTACCCGTAAAAGAGTTTGTAGGGCACACTAAAGGTATGTTTTTTCATTTGGAGTTTCACTTCTGACTTTATATGTAGTTCTCGTTTTCTTGTATTACTTGTTGATTATCTTGCTTCTGATATCACAATTTGTTCCATCATATGTAGCTCTTCATCGCTTAAAGAGTAGCCAACTTTTACTGTGTACAATTCACTTTGCTGATTAGATATCTTGTTGTGCTTGTCCACTCATTTATCATTCATCTATTTTCCAAGTGTCTTTCTTCTGAAAAAGTAATTAGTCAAGGTTCACCATATCTATTTTTCTAGATTATATGATTTCTTTTAACTCTCATAAAAACCCTCTAAAAAATGGAACATAAGAAATTATGCATTTGATGAATATAATCGCATTTGGTTGATATCATATTTCTGTTTGTTCTCTCTGATCCTGGAAGTTGGTGTATTAGCATTATTTTTTGGTTTGAGTAATCATATGGTGGGGAAAGGCAGATATGATTGTGCCTACTAGAACTCGATGTGGTCATGTAGAAACAGTCAAGCTTATTGAAGCAAGCACATACTCTATTGGGAGGACTTGTTCATATTGTTCTGAAATTTACTTGAGTTGTCTGCTTTACTTTACGTTAGAATTCTGATCGTGAACTGGAGAGACCAGTGGGAGATTTGGCTACATGCAACATTCGTTCTAGAATTATCCATGATAACTCGATAAGACTTTTATGTCTGTTTTCCCACATTATAATGTAGAAGACCAAGACATTGTAACATCAGCATGGCTCTGTTAACAATCCAGATCACTGTAGCATATTTTGTACCCTGAAAATACAACATATAGTTTTCTAACACATGATATCTGTAAGCATTAATTTCATATTGTATAACACTATAACGCTAGATCTCGTGGAACAGGAGTCATTGCAATGTCGTGGTGCCCCTTTGACAGCTCTTATCTGCTTACATGTGCTAAAGATAACCGAACCATATGCTGGGACACCTTATCTGGAGAGGTTAGCTGTACTTGCTTATTTTCCTCCGTATGCAAGATTTTCTCAAACATTTGTTTCTTCATTCTTTGAGCAAGGCAGCTAGCTTTCTGCCCATATCCTCTGGTTTAATGGAACTTTTTCCTGTAGATAGTGGCTGAACTGCCTGCTGGAACCAACTGGAATTTTGATGTGCACTGGTATTCTAAAATTCCTGGAGTCATATCGGCTTCTTCATTTGATGGGAAAATTGGCCTTTACAATATAGAGGTTCTGTCTAATCCCGTGAAGTTAAAGTTTATGCATTTTCTGACTGAATTATACAGTATATCACCGAAAGGTGGACTTGGATACGTTCCCTTTTCTTTTCTTTTCCTCTTCTAACTCTCTTGGGTAACTTTTTACTGACAGATGGAATGAGTTTTTTTGCCTAACTGTATGACCTAAATAATACGTCTTGTTGACAAAATAGAGCTGGAGGAACCTCTTTATTCAAATAAACGAATTATGTAACACTATTTTACATGTGAATACTTGATCAGACTTTTGGACTGTAAACTGACCACTAATGTAATTCTGAGTGCTGAATAATCCTTGTTCTGTTTTGTTTGTTTTATTAGTTATGTTTCTGGAAATTAGTGACTTCCCAGAAATCTTTGGATTTGTTTGTGTGCCATGGGACTCACCTATATATATTGAAATGCAGGGATGTGGACGTTATGGCCTTGGTGAAAGTGACTTAAGTGCAGGTATCGCATTTTTTAGGTTGTAAAAAGTTAATTTTGTCAGTGTAAATTTATCATTCTTCTGGTGTGTCTTTCTGGTTGCTGATGAGGCAATTACATAGCCTGAGAAGAGAAATAAGCATATTATGTGTAAAAACCAAAAATGCGTGGTCGTGTGGGCCGAGGGTTGCAGTAATGTTTGCAGTTTCCTTCATTTTTTTTTTTTTTTTTAAATTTATAAAGTCGAGACAGTTATCAGAAAGGTGTCTTGCTCTTCAACTCCCAATTGCCATTCATTTATTTGAATCAATAGTTCTGTAAAGCCATCTTTCAATGGTTTTTGTTTGTTATTCTTCCTCCAATTCTGTTCTGATAAGCTCTCATGGCACATTGATAGTAATGTCGCCCTGCACTGTTGATTTGGTTATGGTTATTCATCTGCATTCCATGTTTGTGCAGCATCATTCAGAGCTCCAAAGTGGTACAAATCTAAAGCTGGAATATCATTCGGTTTTGGTGGGAAACTTGTTTCATCTCGAGTTGGATCTTCTGAGGTATCCATGGGAATTTTAACTGTTGATTTCTCTTGTGACATCTTTTGTTCATTTCGTGTCACTGTTACTCTTTTCCAGATCTATTTGCGTGACTTAGTTACAGAGCAAGGTTTAGTGAGTCGATCATCTGAATTCGAAGTTGCGATAAAGAATGGTGACAGATCAACCCTGAAACTTTTATGTGAAAGGAAATCTCAAGAGTCCAAGTACGTATTATTCTTTAGACATAAACCATTAATAGTTGCAGATATTGGGATATGAACTTATCCAGACCAATTCATTTCTGGCTCAGGTCTGTTGAGGAGAGGGAAACTTGGGGCTTCTTAAAGCTTATGTTCAATGAGGAAGGGACCTCAACGTCAAATATTCTTTCTCATCTGGGCTTCAGTCAACCAGCTGAAGAAAACAGTACTTTAAATAATGAAATATCTAAGCAAATGAATGCCCTCAACTTAGGTAACAGTACTGAAAATGGAGAAGTAATATCCGAAAACCAACAATCCTCATTGCTTGCGACTGATAATGGGGTAGATTTCGTCAATAATCTTCATAGTCCAAAAGCAGATACACCTAGGTCAACTTTTACGAATGAAGTTATAAATGAGCCACTAGAAGAACTGAATGGGCAAGGTGAGAGCTCTAGTTCTTCATTTGATGATTCAGTACAGCGTGCTCTAGTCGTGGGGGATTACAAATGGGCAATTGCACAATGCATATCAGAAAATAGACAGGCAGATGCTTTGGTCATTGCTCATGTCAGCGGCCCTGCCTTGTGGGAGAGTACACGTGATCAGTACCTGAATGCTAGTCGTTCTCCTTTTCTAAAGGTGGTAACAGACACTATTTAAGGTTTACTGATAATAATTTCATCTACTCTCGCTGTTGGTTGTTTACATGTGATTTTTTTCTATGTTCATTGAGCCTCAGGTTCTTTCTGCCATGGTGAACAATGACCTCATGAGCATCGCAAAGACAAGGCCACTGAAATCATGGAAGGAGACTCTTGCCCTGTTTTGCACAGTATGTCTCCATCCTGACAAACAGGCTGTTCAAAGATTAATTGATGTTGCTTAATACTTTAAATTTTTCGGCAACAAACTTTCATATTTATCTGTGCCATGAAAAGTGCTGTAAGGAATATAGTTAATTTGTCACGACTCATGGCATCAAACTCGATTAGACCCACTTCTTCCACTTAGCCACACTTAGAAATATGTTTTTTTAGAACCCCATTTGTTCTGTCTGGTATTTGTTTGAATAGGTATATACTCAAAGGATGTGTATATGTGTGTTTGGATTTATATGTCTGGTCTTTGTGATGATACAATTTCTGGTGAAGCTTGAGGCAAGGTTTCAACTAGTAAATAATGACCTGAAAACAGAAACATGGGTCCTCTCAGGGGAAAAAAAATAAAAATAAAAAAAAATAGGCAAACTTATCTGGTCTATTGTGCAAATTTTGACTTATTGAGGATGATTAACATGTTGTGGTCACTGGATTTAAACTGTTTTATGCTTATAATAACTGTGTTCCCTTCCAGAAATAAAGTAGTTTGTCAGTCTATATATGTATCTGTTCCTCTTTGTATATGTGCTTAGCCTTGTTGGGCATTACTATTTGAATGAACAGAAATATGTGATTTGTTCCGCCCAATTAATTACTATTTCTTGACATTGTTTTACACAATTGCATCATTCAGTTCGCACAGCCGGATGAGTGGGCTCAATTATGCAATACCCTTGCCGCCAGACTCATGGCCGTTAATGATACAGCTGCAGCAACCTTCTGTTATGTATGTGCTAGAAATATTGTCAAAGTAGTGGAGATTTGGTCAAGGAATCTTGGAAGAGAGCACGATGGAATTTCCTATTTAGACCGTCTCCAGGTAAGCAAGCAAGCATCGATTAAATGACATCAGATGGTAGTTTGTGGTAGATGTAATATATATGTACTTAAAACGCCATAATTCTCTTTTAAAGGATTTAATGGAGAAGACCATTGTCTTTGCTTTTGCTACTGGAGAGAAGCGATTCAGTTCTTCGTTATGTAAGCTAATTGAGAAATATGCTGAAATACTAGCAAATCAAGGGCTTCTAAGTACTGCTATGGAGTACTTGAATCTTCTGGGGACCGAACAACTATCCACTGAACTTATGATCTTACGTGACCGTATAGCATTATCAACCGAGCCAGGTGTGTTTGCTTTGCCATCTCTTCTGTCGTATTCTTATCATTTTGAGATTACCCAACCTAGCTTTTCAGATCCTGTTTATCGTGAGAAGTTCTTTGGAAACCCCATAATTAAACTTGATAGTGCTTCATCTGTTAAGATGATTTACCTGATACATCTATGAACCTCTACAATTAAACTTCTTGTACCCAAAAATGTTCTTTTTTTTTTTTTACTTCCTCTGCAGAAATTTCTGAGACCTCGACTTGTGATAACTCTCAAATATCAATTACAAAATGGATATGCTTACAGTGCAGGCTAATCAAGTCATGATGTTACTGATGCCAAAAATGTTGCTTTTTTATTTCCTTTGCAGAAAATGTAACCTCAACTTATGATAATACTCAATTACAAAGTGGATATGCTTACGGCAATGGCCAATCAAGTCATGGAGTTACTGATGCATCTCAAAATTATTATCCGGTACATAAATCCTGCTTCTTTGTATCTGAAATGCTTTATCCTGTTTTATTTATAAGTGTTGAAATATTGCTGTTGCTCTTTTCTCCCTCAGGATGCAAACTCATCCCAGGTACAATCAACTGTTCCAAGCAGCACTTACAGTGAAAATTATCAACAGTACAATGCTCCTCCAACATATCAACCAGTTCCTGCACCAAATATCCAGCCGACCAGATTTGTTCCTTCTCCGCCTGTTTCAGCCCCAATGGTAATGGTCTTTGATATTATTTTAACTAGGTGAATTTTGATTCAACCAGCAATTCTTTAGAGCTAATTCTGTCTTATGTATTCTCGACATCTTTTTTAGGCAAGCTATCCTCTGCCTCCAATAAATACTCAGCCTGCTGCAAAGTTTGTTCCTTCAAATCCTCCTTTGTTGAAGAACCTCAAGCAATACCAGCAGCCATCATCCTTGGGCTCTCAGTTGTATCCAGTATGCTACTCCACCTTCACCTTCGTATCATGTTCATAAATTTAGGTAGTAACTGACTTCCTATAAAAAAATTTAAAAAGAACCAATACTATTCGTCATTTTTTTCTCGTCGACTACATTTACACACTTATAGAAGGAAAAAAAGAAAATCATGATGACAAATTTTCCTACAAATTCCACTATTTTACCCACTCGCATATATTCCACTATTGTTTTACATTGTTATGAATCTATATAATCACACTGAAATTTATTTTTCTTTTCGTTTTAGAATTTTTTTTTACATCTCTATTTTATTTTCCAGCAAAACAAATATTTCCAAAATCCAAATGAAATCATATCCAATAACCACATTGGACCTTATCTTTCAGTTATTATGTTTTATGCCGTTATTTATAGGTTGACGCTAATCCTAATTACCAATGAGGCCCTCCTGTGGTTGCTGCCTATGATGCCAACATTTCTCAAATTGGACCAGCCTCTGTGCAATCCATGCCCCAGATGTTCACTCCTAATCCACCTCGCTTTTTTACCCCCGTCAGCAGTAATTCAGAGGCTCAAAGACCTGGAATCAATCAAGTTCAACACCCTCATAACTCTCAGCCTCCTCAGCATCAACCAACCGTAACTCCTGCTGGTCCCCCGCCAACTGTGCAGACAGTTGATACTTCTAATGTGCCCGGTAAAAGCATTATCCTTTGCATAGTTAATTTTTCTTCTAGAATATGCCTTTTTTCCCCTAATATTGGTTAGCAGGGTAACAAATATCCAGGAATGGAACCAAAGCTTGTTGACTAGACCTAATGAAAAAACCCGGCTTAAGCAAAGCTTGTTAATCATACATGTTACATAGGCTCTCAACTACTCCTTTCATGTCTGTAAATTTGCTTCCCTTGCCAGAGCATATTTGTCAACAGATCCTGTCCTTTGGCATGTAATTACAAAGGCTACTGTTTCGGTTTAACCAATATATATATATATAAAAAGCTGAAAAATGCAGTGATTGTCATCTACATTTACAAGGACTCGTTTGATATTTGCAGCATTTTTAGTTCTGAAAGATATACTAATTTATTTTTTAAAAATATTATTGGTAGTTAGCTTAAATATCCAAGAAAGTAGAAACGTTTCCTGAGCTTAACCCTCATTTTATTTACTACTTTATGATTAAGTCAACTAAAAAACAAGCAGAGCATGTATATAGCTTCATATCTTTTGTTGGGTCTAATTTTATTTTTTTTTTCAAATATTATTGGTAGTTAGCTTAAATTCCAAGAAAAGTTTCCTGTATTTAACCCTNAATTCATGTATATACATATAGACCATTACCTTTTGCTGGATCAACTCGAGTTATCCATCCAGCTAACTGATGTCTTCATTCTAACCTCACCACAGCACCACACAAACCTGTTATCACAACCTTGACGAAACTCTTTAACAAGACAAGTGAAGCTCTGGGGGGACCACTAGCAAACCCGGCCAAGAAGCGGGAAATAGAGGACAACTCAAAGAAGTTAGGTGCCTTGTTTGCCAAGCTCAATAGTAGAGACATATCCGCAAATGCAGCAGAAAAGCTTGTACAGCTCTGCCAGGCACTCGACAATGGTGATTTTAGTACAGCCCTTCAAATTCAGGTAAAGCCAAAGAAATCTTTGACAATTTTCGCTCTTTCTATATTTCGGATATACGATTATCTGTACATACATAAAATAGTTGAATACACTTTTGACTTGTCGACTTTTGGTTTAGGTGCTTCTCACAACAAGTGATTGGGATGAGTGCAATTTTTGGCTGGCTACTCTCAAAAGAATGATCAAGACGAGATCCAATTTCAGATAAATTATGTAACAGGCTCCCGCTTCTTGCAAGAACCAATTGACTTCTTTAGGTACCATGCAGGTTTCAGTCAAACTGAAAAACAGAATTGAAGATAAATTATTTAACAGACTACCACTTCTTGCAAGAACATATGATCTTAGATTAGCATGCAGGTTCCCCCAAACTAAACGAGGCAGAATTTAAGATAAAGTATTTAACAGATTCGCGATTTGCAAGAATTAATTGACGTCTTTAGATAACATGCAGGTTTCAGTTTGTNACAAAGAGCAGCCACTAGCTAAATACTGACAGCCAACAGCTGAAAACACGCAGCCAAAAAAGTGGGAGGACAGGTCAAAAGACCGCCTAGAACCGACTCCAACGGGGTAAAACTCAAGAACACTACAAAACACTAAAACACTAAAAAATAACACAAAGACCCCAACAGGGTATTACCCGAGTGTCTGGCCCCCACAGGGAAATCAGGTGGACACTCAGGCTCACAGAGGCCAACGGCCCAAACCAAAAACACAAAGCATCAACAAAAGAACAAACAACACAAAACAACTAACACAAACTAAAAAACATAAGAACACGCAGCCTCCCTCAGCAAGAACATCCGGAAAAGACAGCAGACATAGCCAGATCCATGGAGAGCTCCGAAGCTCCAAAACTACGCCCGCCACTGCAGAAGGCCTAGCAAGGCGAAGATCCAAACCTCAGGACAAACCAAAAAATTGACCCGCACACCGAACGCAAGAAATCAAAATCGCTACACCACTAGCCAATCCGGAGCCATCCCAAATTTGCCTAACACCACTAGCCAAATTTGGAGACAGGCGACCTCCCGCAAACTCAAAACCGAGAAAGAGGAGGAAGGGGACGAAAGATATCAGAGCTCAGCCGCGCGACTTTGCCCGAAGGACCAAACCCAGCCCGAAACAACCACCCATCCACCCAGCCCGCAAGGATGAAACCCGACCCAACACCCCAGCGAAGCCGAGATACCAGAGACCAGGCTCCGGCCAAAACCAAAGACCCGCAATCGGGAAGACCTTCCAGCCCGGAAAGAAGAGTCGCTCCGACCAAAGCTCAAACCCGACCTCCCCACCCAGCCCCCAGTGACGGACCACAGCCCACCCGCCGCCACACCATACCGCCGGCGAACAGAGAGCGAGAGTCAGAGTGAAAACCTACAATTCCACCGACCCCCGAAGCCGAGCCCGTCGACAATGACTGGAGAAAGGGAAACCTGAACATGAGCGACGCAGACAACGAGCCGCTACAAGCCACTGGCCACACTCCTCCTTAGGGGTGTTCACGGTCCGGTTTTAATCGGAAAAAACCGTCAATTCGGATCGCGGATCGGTTAAATGGTCAGTTAAAAAAGCCTTAAAAACTTCGGTGGTTAATTTTTTTAAAAATCCGGAATAGCCGGTCCGGTTAACGGATTACCTGCGGCAAACCGCCGGTTTAACCGGACCGGACCGGTAAATATTAAAAAACTATAACAAAAATATATATACATTCAGTCATTCACTATGACCGACAAATACAATACATTCACTATGAATGCTTTGCTCTTATTATTTCAGGTGTATAAACTGACTGAAAAATGAATGTTTACTTGGGTTCAGTTTGCATAATTAATCTTCATCATTTTTGTGTTTTTATGTTTATGGGAGAAAATGTGCATTTTTATGCTTATGAGACGAATTGTGTACTTTTTATTTCATTATTGTTGTTTTTCTTAATTTTTAAGCCCAAATAATCTCTTTAAGGCCCAAAATTGAAAAAACAAATTTAAGTCCAAAATGAAAAAAATAAAAATTGAAGGCCCAAAACAAGAATTTTGAATTTAACCGGTTAACCGCCAAACCGGACTGTCCAATGCGGTCCGAATTGTGGTCGGTTAAAAGATAAAACCGGTCTGGTTATGGACAAGAAAAAAAATTAACCATTAGGTCCAGTTTGGTCATGGTTTGGGTTAAAACCGGACCAATCCGGACCGTGAACAACCCTACTCCTCCTAGCCTCTCCACCCTAGAGCTCCGGCGGTCTTCAAACACAAATCGACGAGATCTGTCGAGAATCGCCATCCTCACCCCGCGGCCAGAGAGAGAAAGGAGGAAGTGCCGCTGCTGGCGGCGCGGTAGCGCAACGATGAGCAATCCACCGGCGACCCGGATGGACGCCGAGAGAGGCGTTAGATGCCGGCGACGGAAATTAGGGTTACGACAAGGACGATTTGGGCGAGAGCGGATTTGGGCGAGATGGGAGTTATATATAATAAGTGATACAAGCTCTTTTAGTTTGACTGTTGATCCCATGATTTTTTTAGCTCTAATTTCAATTCAGGATAAAGAAAACTGTCACGGCATTGATAGCTGGGTATAAGTTATACAGATACGTTTTTAGTGTTACTATTTACTGCACCCAATTTTACTATTTACCGCACCCAAAAAATACTCTTTTGTCCTTATTAAGAAATAATAATAAAAATTCAATTTTTAATTTTTTTAACATTAAAAAAAATTATAATTCTTAAAAAATGATGAATGTGGCCAATCAAAAAAATCATTCTAACACAAAAACCGAAAAAAAAATTCATAAAAAAAAAACACAATAAATTCGAACAAAATTCAAAAAAAAATCCGAAAAAATGGCGGGACAATCATTTTAATCATTGTCATTCTTATGCATTTCCACTCTATCCTATCAAAGGCCTTCATCATGTCAAGTTTGATAACTGGATCATGGAGTGTGTGTCTACTGTCTCCTTCTCCTTTATCCTCAATGGCAGCACAAAGGGCTACATCAATGCACAAAGAGGAATAAGGCAGGGGGACCCTCTGTCCCCCTACCTATTCATTATTGTATCACAAGTCTTGTCTGCTATGATCTCAGCTGCAGTTGAAAGAGGAATCTTCAGGGGACTGTCATTGGCAAGAGGAGCTCCTATTCTCACTCACCTTCTGTTTGCGGATGACTCAATCCTCTTCTGCAAAGCAGATGAGTACCAGGCTAGGGCCATTAAATCAATTCTTGACTGTTATCAAAAGTTTTCTGGCCAGAAGGTTAATACTTCAAAGTGTTCCATCTTTTTCAGCAAGAACTCCAACATACTAGTACAGAATCAAGTCTGCCAGGTCTTTCCAGGAATTCAAGTTAAAAAGTCCTCAAGATACTTGGGACTGCCCTTTGGGATTGGCCACTCTAAAAAGGAGGTCTTTGGTTTTGTAACAGAAGTAGTAAGGAACAGAGTGTTGAGCTGGAAAAACAAATATTTATCAACTGCTGGGAAAGAGGTGCTAGTCAAATCTGTCCTAAATGCACTCCCTCTCTTTGTCATGTCCTGCTTCAGGCTGCCAGTAGCCATTTGCAAGGAGGTGACAAGTATTTTTGCCAGATTCTGGTGGAGTAGGAACCTTGAGCAGCAGAGTGGAATTCACTGGAAGAGATGGGACATCTTAACACTCACCAAGAAGCAGGAAGGACTTGAATTTAAAGACATATCCCTCTTCAATGATGCCATGCTGGTTAAGCAGCTCTGGAGAGTGATTACTCAACCTCACCTCCTGATGAGCAGGATACTCAAAAGCAGGTACTTCCCCAACTCATCTATATTTGAAGCAAAACAGACTCAGAATTCCTCCTGGCTATGGAGATCTTGGCTAAAAGTCAGGTGGTTATTAAAAGAAGGCCTATCAGTTGAAATAAAAAATGGTGAATCTGTGCAACTGCAAGACTTTTGTTGGGTCCCAGGAATCAGAGGCAGAACTCTAAAATTCAAAAATGAAGTCGGCTATAGAACTCTCTGGGTGAAGGACCTGTTTAATGCTGATAACACTTGGAATGAACAAAGAGTCAAAGAAATGTTTGAAGACCAAGACAGTGCTGAAATCCTCAAAATCGATTTTTCGTTTTTTTTTTTATATATTAGTAAGGGTATTTTGGTATTTTTAGGTGCGGTAAACGATATTTGGGTGCGGTATTTAGCAAAAGAGTTTTATAAATCTATTTGTTGTAATTTGGTTCAGCTTGGCTCTTCAGTGTATCACCACCTAAAGTCACTAGCTTTTCCTTTTCAACAAAATTAATGGAAGTTTATGTTTCTTATGAGTCACTTCATATATATATAATTGTTTGGGCTATCATGTTACTGAACTGCCCGAAGCTCCGCATTTGATTAGTGTAGACAAGTCTGGCTCTTAGCAAGTGTTGCTGGACCGTGATTAAATCCATATAACTATGAACATAAACCTACTAGTGTCTGTTCTATCATTCCGTACTCCTCATACATGTCCCGTACGTGCCTGACTACATGCACCCATTGAACTATGACATGTGTCATTTTACTTACATAATTTAAAAAAAAAAAATAATTAATTAAACTATTAAAGTTACCCTTATAAACGAATAGTGAAAATTCTTATATGATACCTAAATCTTATTTATGTTTTTACCCAAGTTTTCAATAGCATGAAATTTAGAAAAAATAAAAATAAAAAAAATGTGCAGAAAATGTCATTTCAAGTTGAAAGCTTATATAATCTCAAAATATCAAATTATCAAATTGATTAAAGGGTATTGTTGCTTATGAAAAGAGGAACAAAATGAGAGTTTATCCATCAAATTTGGACAATGAAAATTGCCGGTTGAAGTTTTCATCTCGCAGCTCACCGCCAGAAATTAAAAAAACATTGCCAGCATTTCTTTTACTATTACACGATCCGATTGACGATCTGGACATACCATTGGATTCCTTTTGAAAAAATTTTTTTATACATATATGTTTCACAAAAATCAAACGACTAAATTTTTTTATGACATTTCAACAAAATTTACCGTAATTCTATGATTTTTTTTTTGTGAAAATTTAACAATAATTTAACAAAATTCGATGTATCGTATGATGATATTAAACCTGTTGTTGGATAAATCGAGTATAGAGCTTCAAAATGATATATGATTTAATTGAAATTCACAACTATTAGACGTGCGACGAACGACGGCTAACAGTGGTGGACGACAATGTCGAATGGCGGCAAGATGTTCGGATCTTCAGTTATAGTACATTTTTAATTTAATAACTCTATTTTTCTGCGAACATAGTTTCTCTATTTTAAATTGTAGATAATATTGTTCGACGTGTCGAACATAAAGATCATATTGTCGGTTTTTTGTGAAATATAAATATTTGTTCACAGCACAGACATAATTGAACTAACTGTCATGAAAGGCTAAAGTGTGATTTTCGAGTTAGTTGATATTTAACTAACGAATTACACTAGTACACATCGAATGTATTGAACAGACCTGTGGAGGATAAGATTATTTTATGCTGACCAAGTAAATAATTTACACTTCAGTAATTGGTGTGCTCTATTAACTTGTAAGACGATAAAGAGACATGCATTGGGTTATTATTCATTTGATTTACTAAGAGTGAGATTTGTTCATAAGTCAATAAACTCAGTATTTTGGTAAATCATTGTGATTACATAATGTGCCATTGAAATTATTTACGATCATCGTATCCCGGTTGATGACGTCCTCGAAATGAGCGTAAGAAGAATTATTATGTTAAGTTTGGCCGACGAATTAAATTCCAACATAATGATAAATAATTGAGTGGTACTAATTTTGGACCAAGAAGTTGATTAATTATACAATAAATTTTTATTTTAATATCATTTTAAATATTTTTTTATAAGACAAAATTCAATTGTAGATCAAGTATTACTAAGTATGAAATTTAAGAGAATCTTATTGTTATTGCTATATTTTATTTGCATTTTAAAAACTAGTAAGCATCTCGTGCGATGCACGGGAGGGTTTGTATCTTAAAACTTTTTTTTAAAAAAATTTATTTTAATAATGTATTAGCCATTGACTTGTTTATATTAATAATACTTTAAAACATATATTTGTTTTCTGATATAGAATAATAATTTTACTTATTATTATTCATCATAATATTTAAATATTATTTTATTCTAAAATTTAATTTCATGTAGTTTCATTATTATTAGTTATAGCACTTATAAAAGTAGTATTCTTTTCTTATATATATATAATAATAAGTATCTAATTTACATTAATATTATTTATTGATTTAATTAATTTACAAATATATAAACGAATTTCAAATAAATTTGACATATATGCATTTTATTCAATTTTTAGAATTTATCATATCTCATAATAATTAAATATAAAATCATATAAATACTATTTTATGACAATATTAAATATATTAAGCCTAATATTTTATTTGTTCCTTGTAAGTATGTGTTAGAATATATGAAAATTTAAGATAAAATAAAATGTATCAAAAAAAATATGTATGTGATCTTTTCTTTTAAATATTTGAATTTTATTTTTTTCCAAAAGTTCAAAACCACATTTAGGCGGAATATTTCAAATCAGAAACTATATTTAGTAAATAATTAGGTGGGATTCCTAATTATATTTTTGTTAATATTTTAGAGTTTTTTGGGTTGTCTCTTTATATAATAATAATAGATTCGGCTGAATCAAACTTAATGAATGATGATGCGGGATACTAACAAACTTAATATATGTATTGATTTATTGAAAAATATTTCTGGCTTTCTCAAAATGAATCATTATTTTAATTAAATTGAAATGTGGCAATTTAATTGTTTGAAATANCGAAACGATAGGATATATTACTCAAGCAAATGTACATCGAGGACAAACTTGTCCTAATACAACATCACCCTAAAGTAAGAGAACCAGAAAAAGGTTGTATGCATCTTCCCCGGCTTATGAGGACATCAGAGTCTAGGGATTGCACATCAACCTTTAGCCCCTATGTACAGCAAAAATAGGCAAACAAAAAGGATTTACCACTGCCACTCAAGGCCTAGCAACCCTCAAAACACTAGGAAATCTACTACAAAGCAGCACCCAAAACAACATTAAAACATTATGTACATTTGTAAAATTCCAGCCAGTCTTCTAAAGCCAATGAAATTGTGTCCTTCTCTGATCTCCATTGCTTAGTAAACACCCACAAGTTCCTAGTCTTCCACATCCACCAGAGGATATAAGAAGACAATTGAAGTCTGGCCTCTGCAGTTGGTGAGTTATTTATTGAGCAAACATTTGGCCACCAATGTTTAAAGTTGTCTGTGAATGTTTGAGCTCCATCCTAGGAAACAGGAGAGATCTTCCATATCATCTGAGCTCTCTTGCAGTGGAAGAAGAGGTGTTCTTGTGTTTCTTGGGCTTCCCCACACACCTGACAGGTTGGATCAATTTGCAGTCCCTTCTTGATAAGGTTGTTGTTGACTGGTATGATGTTATTCATTCCTTTCCACAGAAAATGCTTCACTTGGGGTTTAATTTTCAGCTTCCATGTTCTCATCCTTGCTTTTTGTAGCACTGTTTGATCTTGACTGGTGCCAGGCAAGTCCATTTGTAAGAATTTTTCTAGGATCATTTTTTAGTAGGCTGAGGACACTGAAAAGTTTCCATCCTTGCTTTGGGGTTGTTAAAGTGGATTTGTTTAAACTTTAAAAAAACGTCTTCAAATTGAGCAGTCCAAAAAAAAATTTTGAATTTGAAACGACAAATGGAGATTTTGGATACTGACAAAATTTTTCAAATTTGTGAAAAATTCAAATGATTCAAAGACACAATATATTGCGAAAAAATTCAAAATATATTATTATGGTTAGTAATATATTTAAGCGGGATTTTAGATAATTTTTAGTTACTATTTTTAAATTATTTAGGTTGCCTTTTTATATATTACTAGTACCAATCCCGTGCGATGCACGAGTAAGAAATATTTATTAATATTTATAAATTAAAAATTCTCATTAAATAATATTTATAAATTAAAAATATGGAATCAATATGTAATACAATGTACCTATATTAATTTATTGAAAATAATATATACAATTTAAATTGTGAAAAATTACATAAAAATGTCTATTTAAAATTAGTATACAACCCACACTTTGCACATAAATGATAACAAATTACATTATATACGTTTCAAAATATATGTCATTTCAAAATTTTTATTAAGAAATTCGATTTAACTATAACGTGATTTCATAAAATAATTATTTTGCTATAATTTTATCATATATTTAAAAGCCGTGAATAATAAGTATAAATATAGAACTTATATTGTTTCATTAATTAAAATAAATTTATATTTGTATAAAATATCTAATCGAAATATTAATTAGTTGATTAAAACAATGAGTCATAAGATTTTTTATGCCAAAAAATCGACACTCATTATCATGCTAAAAAAATAAACAGTGCATTTCATACAAAACTTATTTGAAATGTCGTAACAAAAAATGAATTAAATCGAGACCCACTAATTATACTAAAAAAATGACCAGAGGTTTGTCTATAAAAAAACATCGATACATGCACATTGTATCAAAATATCCGTTCATAATATTTTGTTGGAGTTACAATAATTTTATTATGTTAATTTCATACGAAAAATTGAAACTCACGCCTAAAATCTAATATATTAGCCTGCGTATTAAAAAAAAGGCACTCTATATATTGATTAATTTTTGAACAAATTTTCTACCAAAAAACAGTCATCAAATAACTTAAATAAATTTGATCACTTTATAACATATAGTGATTGATTAATTTATTTCCTATAGAAACAACCACTTTATAACATATATTGATTGATTAATTTATTTCCTATAGAAACAACCATCCATACCAAAAATAAATTCATCCACTTTATACCATATATTAATTAATTTACGTAATTTCAGTAATTAAGGTATCTTATCAAATAATTAATAGTTATTTGTTGGTCCGGAGTAATTTCGTTTTTGGGTTCGGAATTCTTCGAGTCGGGCCCTAGTAAATATCCAAGAAACCGAGCTCCGGAGACGGGACGACAATGACGAAGATGCTATCAGCCACATTCAAATCAGTGAAACCCCATTCCAAGTCCCTTCCATTCCTTCTTCCCCTTTCCAGACCGATAAACTCATCGGAAAACCAATCTCGAATTTCGCCCCGATCGTCGCCGAAAAGGCCTTCACCATATAAAATTTTGGCACAATCCTCGCCGGAAAAGCCCTCATCATCTACAATTTTGCCCGAAGCATCGCCGAAAAATCCCCCATCGTCCGTTCCGAGATTCTCGCGCAAGACCTCGTGGGTTGTTTATCTTATCCTCTCCACCAATCCACCTATCAGGACTTACGTTGGCGTCACCAACAATTTCTCCACCAGGTACCTTACCTTCTTTGTTCATCCACCTACAAATTCAATGTGTGTGTATGTGTTTTTGTGGTATTGATGAAGTCTAATGAAATAAAAGAAAAAAGAAAAAATAGCTGTGGATTCCAATCTCTGTATAGATTATTTCAATACAAAGACCAATGTTTAAGAGTGTCAATGAAGAGGGAATTTAGAAGAAAAATGAAATTTTCACTGTACATTCTGAGTGTTTCTTTTGTAATCTCACTTTTTATACTTGGCGAAGTAGCAACGAGGACGATATAGAGTCCATGTTTATTGTGATTCAAATTTTGGAGTATATCCATTTCGCTGATTCTCTTCTTTTCTAATAAATTTTGCTAAATTTGTAGACTAAAACAACACAATGGTGAGCTAAAAGGCGGTGCAAAAGCATCTCGCTCGGGAAGGCCATGGATTTGTGCATGTCTTGTACAAGGATTTAGGGATAAAAATACAGGTGAAAACACATGAAAAAGCTCAAACAATATATTGTTAATATGATTTGAATCTTGGTGGCGCAATAATTTGGCTTACTTTTCTGAATGTTTAGCTTCACTTTCAATTGTTATATTGGGCTTCATTTTTTCCCATTCAATCCTCTTTCTGCATTAACCTGTGATGTTCAAATCATTTTCTATAAAATGCAACATTAGTAATGAAACGCTTCAACTAGTTTACATCTCTTAGTAGCTGTATTTTTATTTTATCTTCTTGAGTCATTTTGAGATTGTTGGCATTACCATCATGTTAAAGCAATTGTAGAACAAATAACTTCATGAGGGTTGTTTCTAGGATGGTAATAGGGAGGTTTTGCACACATATTTCTCAAAAGAGGGGGAAATCATATCATGAGTCCATATTAAGATCTATACTTCTTAATGAGTATAGTTTATAACTGAAACTGTGACTCGAAATGTTATTTTGCCAATGACCTTTTTGGAGATATATGTTCACCAATTTCACCCCAACAGCTACCTGGGTTGTGGGCAAGTAGCATAGGGATGTGAACAACAAATAATACTGAATTTTACAGACAGAAAAATCTAATTTATCGATAACATTGAGAATTGATCTTGAATTGACAGAAATGAAAAAAAAAAATAAAAGAAAAGGGGTTGATTGGCAACGCAGACCTTTTTAGAGGATATTATCTCTTCGAGAAATTTTCCACACGGAATAAAGTACATCTTAAAAATTTTTCTCAGAGTTAGTTGTATAATAGAAATTACATCAGAACAGTTTGCTATGAACCAAATAGCTGTTATTTTTATTTTTATTATTATTATTATTATTTTTTTTTTATGGAATTGAGTCACCGCACCTTTCTTTGATTTGGTAAGAATTAGTTTTATTTAACTGTCGTATTATTGTTCACTAGATTTCTTTGCCTTTTTATAGCTTATGCGTTTGAATCAAAATGGAAGAGCATTTCAAGAAAATTGCCCCGCAAACAGAGTAGCAAGAATCAGAAGCTAGCAGAAAGCTCTCGGTGTTTGCTGTTGAAACACAGATATGCAGCTCTAAATAAGGTTGTGGATTTGATCGATTGTGATTGTTTGAAAATCAATTGGCACTTGAATCCTGTGTAATTGTAAGTCTACTTGTTCAAACGAAACGCCTCTCCATCTTTCTCACATTTTTTGTTCCTTTTTTCAATTCTCTTTGAATATCTCCCTATCTGTCTGTGTGTGTAATTTACTACTGCTGCTGTTTGCAGGTTAAGCAAGCAAAAGAACAGATAGGGCTGCATTTCTCATCAATGTGGGAAAATAACTTTGATTTTGTCCTTTAATTTGGATATGATTGTCTGAAGCTTGGAGAAACTTGGATAGATAAGGTTATGGTGATTAGGATCAATACGTTCAAAAGGTTTCCACATTAGTATGGTGTTATAGATAGTTAGAGTTACTGTTATCTGTACAATATATAAATGTAGCTT